AGGAAGGCCCATTTCAGGATCTGATATAGATGGGCCTGAGCTGTGGGCAGAACAGGAGCCACACAGCTGAGTAAGAAACTTCTGGATCCTGTCAGAACTTGTGTAACTGTACCTACCTGACGGAATGGAAGGGACAATGGAAGTACACAACCAAAATTTACTTACTGACCACATGGTTCCCTCCGTGTAGTTGTTTGTGCTCCATAAACCATCTGACCTAAATCTTAAGTGATTAGAAGTTTGTTTTTAGTCTAAGCTAAGTGTGCTCTAGGACATCTTGGTGGGCCTTGTAAGAAGTGAGGTAAGAATACTCCATCTTGAGAGGCTGAGGCTGCTTATTGAAACAGAATGAAGGTTAACTGCCTTTAGGGGGGCTGAGGTAAATATGCATACCACATACGCACACCACTTGCACACACAGCTATCAGGAAGTTACAGCTGTTTTTGTGGTTTAACTGGGAGCGGGGTGAGCTGTGTTTTCCATACCTAGCATATTGTTTTTTTGCAGGTGGAGGGATAGGTAAGACTGGGTTATCTCCCAGTACAGCCTGACTCAATTCCTCATGGCCCGAGGGCATTTATTACCCAACATCCTGACTCAGGAGGCAAGGGGGAAAAGTTTCTGGGGGACTGCTTTCTTCTAGGCCTTAGAATCCAGAGGTTGGCTGTCATGGTCTCAAAGGTGGTGGGGGCGCATTGACCTTCCAGGTTGTATTAAGGGCTGGTACCCTTTGGCCATGAAGAGTTTGGTGACCCTCTTGGCAATAAAAACTTGGAGCCTTTGTTGGAGGAACTTGGTTAGACAGCTGAAAAGGCAAGGACCAAAGAGTAAAGCTGTAAAACTGAACAATTGGGCCTGCCATGTGGTCCCCAAATAAATAGTCCAGGTATCTGAAGCTTTTTTCTCCTCTCTCTCCTAATAATTGTTTAGCCTTTTCCCCTGCTGGGCTGGAGTTTATCCGAGCCTGCAGTCTTCCCCTAGGAAGGCTCCCCTTCTCAGCTGTCATTACATCTAGTGCTCCTCTCTCCTGGAGGATTGCTGTAGCCAGGGAGTGTATTTGATTTTGTAAGGTGACTACACTTTACTGTACTGGGATCAGGTATTTCCTGATCTAACTGGTCAGTTGTCTGTGTTGGAGCCATCTTGCTGTTGTGCTGGTGGCTGATGCCCCTGTTGGATCTTTCCCAGATGGACAGGGAATAGCTTAGAGTTTCTCTTTCTCTGGCTGTTATGGACAGACAAGATATCTGTAGACATCCTACTCCGGGAACATCTAAGTCCAGGGTGAAAAAGACTATCCCCTGGGGTAGCAATCATGTGAGTGTTGTCCTGATATGCACATAAGTCCCACTGTTACCTTTGCTTTGGGAACCAATTGGGGACAGTTGGTTCCTGGTCCTGAATTCAGTTGGCCTCCCCAGCTGTCCCAGCCAGGGGTCCTGCTAACAGGGTTTATATGTTCAGGGTGGTGTGTCTCAGGGTGAATGCCTACCCTACCCTACGATAAGTTATTTGGCTGCCCTCAGACAAATCTAGGAGTCCTTCCCCAACCCTGGATCATAGACAGCAAGAGATGGCTGGAATTTGCCAGTGGTAGTGTTTCTATGAGAGCAGTATTGAGACTAAAGAAGGGGTGACTGTCCTTGTGGTGTCTCAGTCTTGGTTTTTGTGCTCACAGGAACAGAAATGGTTTTTGCTTCTAGAGACAATTGTAAAGTTTGTAGGAGACCCGTTGCCCCATGGATATATAAGCCCAATTTGAAGTTGTGGGTACCCCACGTGGAGGGTTTTTTCCTGGGCAACTCTCAAATTATGCCATTTTTATGTCACCCCCTTCCTGTATGGGACTCAACTGCTTGCCCCTTTGCGGGTGCCTCTGCCTGTGCTCCTGGGCTAGCAAAATCAACACAATGGTATTTGAGGAAGGACTAGTAGGTGTCTCCCCATACACCCTTAAGTTTTCAAGGGACTGTAGGTGGTCATATTGTGGCCCAAGAGAGGTATTGGCCCAGGTTCCAATACCACTGGAATGAAAAATTGCAGTGCTCTTGTTGAGGGCATAATTGGTTGGGATCCAGGAACTGGGTGGCCCATAGCATAGTGAAGCTGTCCAAGTTAATTTGGTGATTATTCAGTCACAGGAGGTTAGAAGTGGAAGAAGGCTCCAGACAGGATGGCTAACTCGGTTTCAGGGAGGGCCCTGGGCCTGAGAGGCAGATACACTCAGGCTGTATAGTGTTGCAGATGATATGCTCATCTGGACCAGAGTGAAGGGCTGGAATGTTCCTTGTAACCAAAGGATATCAAGTGTTTTTGGAAGAGCTGAAGTGATCTATACTGGGCCCATGGCCAGCTATAGGTCTCTCTGTATTGCATCCAGGAAAAGCAGAACTTGGAATGTACTCGGGGGCATCTGGGGTATGTGGAAAGGGGGTGGACAAAGAAGTCGGTGATTATTCTTCAGTGATTGATAGGAACCAGGAAGCCTGTATATTATGAGCTTAGAGGTATGGAATGAAACTGTGGGAGAACCTTCTTGAGCCTGGAAAGGTAGACAGGGGTTAACATTTAATTTTGTAGGGGCAGGGGCAAGTAAAATGACTTTTTGGGGACCTGCCATTTAGGTGTTAGGGAGGAGTGGAATAGACCTGAGACATACCCTATTTGGATATCAGGGAAAGAGGCGTCATGTGGGGGAGAGTGTAGGACAGCGTCTTTACTCTAGGTTTCTCTTGCTGTGGTGAAACACCTTGACCAAAAAGCAAGTTGAGGAGAAAAGGGCTTATTTGGCTTACACTTCCACATCAAGCAGGGCAGGAACCTGGAGGCAGGAGATGAACCAGAAGCCATGAAGGGGTGCTGCTTATTGGCTTGCTATCCGTGGCTTGCTCAGCCTGCTTTCTTATAGAATCCAGGACCACCAACCAACTCAGAGATGGCACCACCCACAATGTACCTTGCTCAGCCTGCTTTCTTATAGAACCCAGGACCACCAACCAACTCAGAGATGGCACCACCCACAATGTACCGGGCCCTTCCCCATTGATAACTAATTGAGAAAATGCCTTACAGCTGGATTTCATGGAGGCATTTCCTTAACTGAGACTCCTCCTTCTCTAGTGACTCCAGCTTGTGTCAAGATGACACAAAACCAGCCAGTACAACAGGGGGTGGGTGGGAACAATGGCCTGATTGATTTTTCAGGGTTTTGTACTGGGTAATAAGAGCTACTAGGCTTTTTAGTAACTGAGAATGGGAGTGTTGTGATGAGAATGGTGGGTTGTTAAAAGAGCTGTTTGTAGTAGTCACTCAGCAACTGTAGTTGGTGGGGTAGCACGTGGGTGGTAGGAGCTAGACAATAATTATTGGTTCTGGTGACAAAGGCAGAAGGGTCTCTCCAGGTTATGAAAATGGGACTATTATGGTTGTATACCAGATTATACTAGAGGAGAAAAGTAGACCCAGGCATAGGCTGAGAAATGCCACTGAGAGGTGGAGGGTACAGGTATGACCGGACAGATAGTTCATCTCCATTAGCCTCATTGTCTGCAGCTCAGACAAGCCTTGGGTTAAAGACACTCCTTAGCACAATGGCCAACTTGATTGCATCGAATACAACAACGGCCCCTCGACCAGATTTGCGCTGAGCCAGCAACAGATAACAGGAAACCTGAACCCTTCCGTCAAAATGTGCTCCGAGGGTCTAACCCTTTGAGCTTTCCCCTTTGTACAGAATGTAGCACCTTCATGCATCCCCGAGCACAATCTGGATAGCGCAGAGCCTTCAGAATCCTGTCCCCTAGTGGGGCACCTTCTCTTGCACTGCCAATGAAGAACCCTAATCTTGTGCATGGCACCCTCACGGCATAGCCAGGAAGCGCCAAAACCTCCAAACCCTGCCCTCCCTTCCTGGAGCGCGGCACTTTTGAGCGCGCCCCTCCTGCAACGTGGCACTTTTGAGTGTGTAGCCCTGATCACAGAACCCTTTGAATCCTCTCCTTTTTGTAGCTTTGCACCCTCAGGATAGTTCGGAACCCTCTGAGCCTTCCCTTACCCTGCTCTCACGCAACTCGGCACAACCAAAATCACCGCACAACCGGAATCGCACAACCGGAATCGCACAACCAGAATCCCGCTAAAATCCTCCGAATCCGGCACCCTGTCTCGCGCAGTGCCGCAAAGCCCTCAGAACTCTGCCCTTGTGCAGCTTTGCAACCTCAGGATAGCTCAGAACCCTCCGAGCCTTCCCTTCCCCTTCCCTTGCCGCAGCTTGGCACAACCAGACTCACTACACAACCAGAATTGCGCTAAAATCCTTTGAACCCTCGGGCAGCGCTGCGGTGCCGCGGAACCCTCCGAATCCTTCCCTCGCGCAACTCGGCACAACCCGGCACAACCGGAATCACGATCGCGCTAAAATCCTCCAAACCCTCGGCAGTGCAGCACCCTGGCTCGCAGTGCCGAGGAAGCCTCCGAACCCTCCCCATGCCCGCAACGCGGATAGTGCAGAAATCTTCCGACCCACCCCCCTCCAGCAGCGTGGTGCCCTAGCACGAACCCCCACCCCCACCCCCACCAACTCGCGTAGCACCCTCGTGCTCTGGATTGCCCGTAACCCTCCCCTCCCCTCCCTTCTCTTGCTGACGCGGCATGGCGGCAGCGCGGCTCTCAGCTCTCCACAGGCCCTCGTGTAGTTCAGAACCCTCGTGAGCAGCGGGGCACCCTAGTGCTGAGTCCTCATGCAGCCCGGAAACCTTTACCCTAGCGCTGAACCTCGCGCAGGGGAACCTTTGCGCAGCCTGAACTCCTGGTTGGAACCCTCGAGCTGCCGGATCGCGTGGAACCCTTGCCTCTCATGGAGCCCTCCCCTCCTCTGGAGCCCTTTCTTCGCGGAATCCTCCTCTCACGCGTGGAATCCTCCCTTTGCAAGGAATCTTACCCTCACCTGCAGAATCCTCCCCTCGCATTGCCGTGTTTCACGCGCAGAACCCTAGCTTACCTCGGCTCCCCAGGATGTCTGCGTGGTCGGCGGTGCTGTGCGTCCTACTGCCCGCTAGAGCAAGGAGGGATAGATATACTGTTGGAGCCTCGGCAGGGGGTGGAGATTATTAAGTTCCGCCCCAACTGTGTCACTTAATCCCCCTCTGCTCAGCCCAACCTAGCCAGGCTCAGGCTCCTCCTCCTGCTCCAGCCTGGAGCTAGTGCTTCTGATGACCTTACAGCCCTGGAAGTGTTTCTATAAATTGCCTGCTGAGCAAGTTGGAAAGATTTGGAGGAACACCAGAGAGACCAGATATTTCAGGCAGACTTGAGTAGCATATATTATGGTTATGTTTCAGGTTTTTTAAGCTATTGTCTGATTAGCTCTTGCTTGCCTCGAACTTACACAGAGAGATACATTTCCCTCTTTCCATTGCTTGGATGCAGAGTATGCAATGCCACTCCTGTGAAGGTTTTTGTGACCACCAAGCCACCAAAAGGATAGTTTTACAAGAGATAAGCAGGCAGTTCTCTTCAACACGACTCAGTTGCCAGTATTGCTTCAAAATTTGAGACTTACAGTTTATTTTAGGCACATTTAAGCAAAGCACAATTTGAAAAAAAAAGTTTCCTGGTTTTAATTAACTGAATCCCATGTGCACAATAAATCTTTACTTATGGCTACACTGAATCTTTTGTGAGGTTCAAGTGAGTCTTCCATACAGATAGATCCTATAGATTAAGGAAACAGGCTCACGGGAAGGGTCTGGGGCGGCTGCTGTGGCCTGGCCATACAGAGATAACACAGAGGTCACCAGGGTATTAACCACCCCTGCTCCCAGCCTTCTGGGCTGGAAACGGGTTATCATCTATTCTCCCTTTGAAGAGACAACCCTGCGTGTTTAACATTCCTGGCTTGCCTAGTGCTTATCTGTGAGAGAAGAGCCTATCTGCCTTTATGTTTGTTCATTGTGTGTTCATTCTAATCCTCTCCAAACAGGTGACTCACTTTTGAGAAGTTCAGCCAGATCACTCCTGGAATTCAACACCACTACCGGCTGCCAGCCTTCAGATTCTCAGCACAGGATCCAGACTAGCATTACATTTCTGTGTGGGAAGACCCTGGTGAGTGGGGCCCTCAGCATGCTCCTTGTTAAGAACACTCTCCCCTTCTGGTGTTCTTGTTAAAGGAATTTTGATCCTGGAGGAATAAATGGCCAACTTCCCCCCACCCCCCACTTTACGTTCACATCATACTACCATCCAGAATCACCAGTTAAGTGACTCTTAAAGATGGTTAGAACTGGAGCAAAACTTAAGTTAGAATGAATGTTAATTTTAGATCAGCCTATTGCAAATTGAGATCTTAAAAATCTATTTGTGGCAGCATGAGCCATTGAGGTCATGTTGTAGAGAACAAGCTAGCTGTTGATTGTTCTTAAGATGTTGGTATTCACTGTAGGAGAAGCAGGACTTGGAGGTAAAAACCTTGGTCTTTCTCATGGGTTGGGGAAGGTAGACGTTAATTATCGCTGTGCAGGGGTTACCTAGAGTTAACTGATCTAGTTGCCAGAAGGGGCTGTCTCAGGGTGGGATCTGGTGAGTCTACCCAGGCTCAGATGCACATGGGCTCCTCAGGGACCTCCTTACAGGATGTATGAAGTCATACTTTCTGGCTCTGATTTTTGGTGTTTTTTGGTTCTGAGACCATTTGGCTCTTGAGAAGAAGGCGAAGGATTATTTCCCATGAGTTTACTCTGCTTGTGGAATTGGGGCAGCTGGGCAGTCACTTAGACAGGATGTCTGGAGACTCTCAGCTCCCAACTTTTCTGTTTGGGAGACGTTCTTGGTAACCTTGTTGAAGTAAGGCAGTTAATGTTTCCTCTTGTTGCACCCTTATTTTCAGTAGATTTTACAATGTTTTACATTTAAAAACAAACTTGTATTATTGAGTGGTATGTTAACATTCTCTTTTTTAAAAAATAGGGAACTCCTGAATTTGTAACTGCCACAGACTGTGTGCATTACTTTGAATGGAGGACTACTGCAGCCTGCAAGAAAGACATATTTAAAGCTGATAAGGAGGTAATGGGGTTTAAGATGATTTGGGCATGACATCTACTCTGGAGAGCTTGAAAGTCAGAAAGGGTGTGAATTCCAATGGAGAGGAGGTGGGGAAGATTTTGGAGGAGCTGGAAAAGGGAAACTATAATCAGAATGTATCATAAAAAAAAAAACCAAACAAACCTATCTTCAATAAAAGAAAAAAATAAAAAATTAAAAAACCTCTTAGAAAGAAGGTTGTTACTGTGAGAGGGAAAGATTTGAATGACTTAGTACAGTCTCTTGAGGGGAAAGTTTGTTTCTGTGGGTGTGAGGTTTCTTTTGCACAGAGATACTATGAGATTTAATTGTTAGAAACTTCTAACAATTAGCCAGCTTCTGGTGTGCACAGCACAGTCTGTTTTGGCTTTAGGTTTTGTCCTGCACACCCTTGGGCCTTCAGGAGCCTGACTGTTTGATCATTTTCCTCTTCACCTGCTCCCTACCCATGAAATATCTCACTTTGATGATTCTTTTTCTGCCAGTTTTCATTGCCAGAGTCTCATGTAGCCCAGGTAGTTCCAGACTTGGTATGTGGCTGAAGATGACCTTAAACTTGCAATCCTTCTGCCTTCATGGTGTGATTAAATCATGACTGCCTACTCGATAGATTTAGAATTACCATGGAAGTAAACCTTATGGGTATGTGTCAGGATTTCTAGATTAGATGGATTGAGGTAGGGAAACAAATCCTGAGTGTGAGTGGCAGCATGCTTCGGGCTGGCTTCCTGGAGTGAGTCAGAGCGGAAGTGAGCTGATAGCCAGCATGCTTCCGTCTTGCACTTCCTTGTGGGTTAAATGCGACAGTGACCTCCTACTCCTGTTCTCTGCCGTGAGGAACTGTGCTCTGAAACCCAGAGCCAAAATAAATCCCTCCTTCCTTAAGTTGCTTCAAAGATGAGAAAAGTAACTAAGATACGCTGCCTCCTGAGTGTTAGGATGGCAGGTATGAGCCTCTGTTCCTGGCTGTGCTCTAACCTTCACAGGCGTCCTTTCTTCTCAGCCGGGGCGGGGGTCGGGGGGCGGGGGGGGTGGGGGGGGGGGGTGGGGGGGGGGTGGGTGGGGTGGGTGGGGTGGGGTGGGGCTGGAAAACCTGTTGAACAGAACTGTCACAGCTCCTGGGGACAGGTTTTTCCTGTCTTCCATTCTTGACATTGTCACCTTGTTTTTTCTGCTACTGGCTGCCTTTCCCCTGGCCGGAGGGCTGCTGCTTGTTTTCCGTCCTCACAGCGAATGGCTTGATGCCATCTGAATGAATGTTTCTGTGTGTTCTTGCTCGTGTAGTGATACTGATTTGTGCGATCTGGAATCATTGGGCTTGCTGTTCTTTTTGGCTTTTTTAAATGGTCTGGAAATCATTCCATAGCATAGGCTTCTGAGTTCAGGAGTTATCAGTGTCTCGGTTGCTTTCGACTTCAGCCCAATTAGATAAATTAGATAACCCTCTTGGCCACCATTTTTCTAGTGTTTAACTGGAGTTCGTTGCCTGCTCCTTGCTGTCACAGGTTACTCCACCTCTACTGTGTGTCAGGTAGACTGTTTGGCTGTGTGGAGGAGGCTGGCAGCCCTGTAAGAGTTTGGCTTTTGCTTCCTGAGTAGTAAGGACCTTTTAAAGCAGGGAATATATGTTCTGGTTTTTGAAAGATTGATCACGTGGTTGTGAAGTCATGGGCTAGGAGGAAGATCAAAGCTGGAATTGGGGGACCTGTTGGTAGCTGTTGGGCAAAGCTGGAGGTGACAGGAAGTGAAGACATGAAGGACTGACTTTGAAGACTGACAGAACTAGCCACCATTTGGATGCGGGCCATAGTCAGATAGTCATGGTGTTTGAGTCCAGGTCACTTGGTGGTCTTCCTCTCTGCACTGACTGAGATGGAGGGGGCATGCTGTTGGGAGAGACCATAAGCACACTTCAGTATTTTGAAATGACTTCTGTGTCCAGGCAGCAGTGGTGGTGGTGTGGCGAGAGCAGTAGACCTTCAGATCTGGGTCATCTGGCAGGTATTTGAGCCAGTCACATGGGCAGCTAGGGATGACCCCCAGAACAGTAGGATCAGGTGTAAATTTGGGAACATTCTGTGTTGTTATTATTTTGAATTTTATTTATTGTGTGTGCATGGTACGTGTGGGTGCAGTGTCATGGTGCGCGTGTGGAGAGCAGAGGACACTGCGGAGTTGGTTCTCACCTTCTACTCTTTAAATTCAGGCCTTCAGGCTTGTGTGGCAGGAGCCTTCCTACCAGAACCACCTCTGTATTGAGAATCAGAAGGGTGGTGAGGGGATATTTCCAGGATGGAGTTGAGTCAGCAGGAAACCAGGTGTCTCTGGACAGGAATTCAAAGGAAAGGGGAATGAAGGCTTCAGGCTATGGTCATAAGACCAGGGCAAGCCTAGGAAATGAGCTTCAGATCTGGCAACAGGCAAAGTCAGCTGGCAGGTATGGCTTTGGTGTGGTGAGGGACAGGTAAGAGGAGACAAAGGTCAGTGATGGTTCAGGAATTTTTCCCTAAGCTACAGAGATGGGAAGGTAGCTGCGGGAGATTCAGGAACTAGAAGAGATAAGTCAACAGATGTTTGTTGCTGAAGGAAGTGGTCTAGGACAGAAAAAAGAGGAGGTGATGACAGACATACAGCCTTAAGAAGGGGAGAGAGACCTTGGGAATGGCATAGAGAGCTGAACTGGTTTGTGAGACGGTCTCTCTCATTCACTGTGTAGCCCTGCCTGTTTAAACTAGGTTGGCCTTGAACTCACAGAGTTCCTCCAACCTCTGCCTCCTGAGTGTTGGGATTGAAGGCTTGCACCAGTATGCCTGATAGAACTGTGTTTATTCTATAAGGGACAGAAATCACTGTTGTGTATGTCCATCACAAGTTTATGATCTCTCAGCCCTGAGCTGTGGGATGAAAGAAGTGGCTCACTTGTTCTCTGCTTCCTCAGGTGCCATGCTATGCATTTGATGACAAATTACAGAAGCAT